TTCATGTGCAGTCCTGGAAGTGCAGAACTGGCACCTCACACCATACTTTCGATGAGCCCGCAGTGTCCTAGCATGTCGTCCAGGAGATTCCAGCACATTTCTTCTGGTAGCACATCCAAGACTTGACCTCGATATCATGTTCTTGAAAGCTTTGTATTCAGTTCAACAGCTGTCAGACCGTGCCTGTCTGTACATGGACGTAGTTTTGTTGCAGCGGTGCGAGTTCGGTCTATCGGAATGTTGCTTCAGTGATTTCGCATGTCAAGATGAAGAGTATCCTCTGCCTCTTCAGGCTACCAGCCCTCGGTGTCAACCTTGCAGTGTTCCGATGGCATCCTTACCCCTCTGCAGTTTGTCTGTCTGGAGCTTTCCTGCGAAGCACCGTTCAATGCAGCTTGGCTGGGTGGTTCAAAGTACTTCCGGGTTCGCTTATGTGTTTGACCTACTTTAGGCCAGGGACTTGCCACGACACACTGTGTCTGCTGTGATGGTTGCTACAGCCGTTCTCGCTTCTGTCGCTACGCAAAGGCGCGGCCGAAACAATGCTTGTAGGGCTTATTGAAGGCTTGTACCACTCACCAGCTGCAGTTTGCACCGTTGAGCGGAAGTTTTTTGGAGGAATTCAGTTGTTGCAGCCACAGTTCTAGACTAGATAGATGCATGTGCAAAGACTTATGTTTACCAAAATGGAAGCAAAATTGCTAAAGGAGTAAAGTAGGTAAGTAAGGAAGTAAGCAGGTAAGTAAGTAAGTAAGTAAGTAAGTAAGTAAGGAGGCAGGTAAGTAAGTAAGTAAGTAAGTAAGTAAGTAAGCAAGCAAGCAAGCAAGCAAGCAAGTAAGTGTGTAAATAAGTCCGCACGTATGTCTATATGTCCACATCTGTCTGCCTGTCTGCCTGTCTGTCTGCCTGTCTGTCTGTCCGTCTGTCTGTCTGTCTGCCTGTCTGTCTGTCTGTCTGTCTATCTGTCTGTATGTCCGTCTCTGTCTGTTTGGTTGTACGTATACACGATATATGTATCTGTGTATGTAAATATGCAAGTATGCATGTAAGTATGCATGTATGTATGTATGTATGTATGTATGTATGCATGTATGTATGTATGTAAGCGAATAGGGCCTCGGATCGAACCGGTGTAATAACACCGGCATAGCCAGCGACCCCAGTGCCGGAAGTCTAGGCACTCTTCCGAGCCGTCACTCCCCGCCTTGGCACCGACGGCAGAGGCTTCGCCGTTCCAACGCGAGAGCTCGGATTTGGAAAGCCCGACAGCAGGTGAGGACCCCCAGATTTCGGGACATCAGCTTCCTAGAAGCTCACCATTCAGGACCTGAATCTATGGGCAAGAGGAAGGAGCAGGGATGGCGTGGATGGGAAAGAAGGCAGTGGCGGCCGGACTACTCGCCTGGCTGGCATCCACAACGAGAGCTTCCAACAGTCGGTATCATGTACAGCAGAAGGAGAAGAGCCAATTTCCCTCCTGCGAGAATATGAGTATCCAGACCGCGCAGGAAGAGAACGTCCGCAGCACAGAATCTTCGGCCCCTGCCAGCTCCTTCGGGAATTCAGGGTCAGTCGGCAGTGTTGTTCGTTCAGTGCAGAAGCCAGTGAACCAGCTGAGAAAGATCGAGGCGAAGCTCCGCCGTACCGACCGAGAGCTCCAGGAGACAAGTGGCAGTCATGGCAGAAGGAGATGAAGCAGAGCGAGCGACATATCTCAGCAAAACCGAAAAGCCCGAGGAGGAGAGACAGGAGCAGCAGGAGCACCTCGAGAACGCATTGAACGACCTCCAGAATGCCTTGGTCGCCGAGCAGGCGAAGATTGCCGAGAAGGTGCCCAAGATCTCGGAGGGGGGTCCTTGCGGGATGGGAGAGTCTTGTGCATGCGCCGAAATCCGAAGCGTCGGGAATGAAATGACCCGACAGACGCGGCCAGAGTAGGCGAACAAGTGCATCGGCAATGACGCCCCCAACACCAACAGCGAGGAGGCATGGCAATGGGGGGCCAATGGAGGTCGAGACCGTCGCCAAAACAGCCTTTGACGCAGGGAAGTCCTTACTCTACACCAACGAGACGGTGCCCCGGTAAGAGCGGCGTTATTCCGCATGTCCATCACATCCACGATCTTCAACCGGGCAAGGCCTGGGAGCTCCTTGCGGGAGGATTCACTCGACTACATCCAAAACTGATGGCGAAACAGTTCAAAGGCGAGATGCTGTACAAGCTTTCTGCGCCGGCCAACACCCCCAGCTTGGAAATACTGGCGAGGAAGGCCATCTCCTGGGCTCAATGGCCAGAGCTGCTCCCAGGCTCCTGTGGGCAGCGACACAGGAAAATGGAAGTTGCTGGAGATTCAAGACGGACTTACAATGGCTCAGCAAGAGTGGAGAATGGCCTGGACATTGTGCTGCTTCTTGGCCCCAATGGCACCACCTCTTAGTGGGATCGAGGTGCTGGGTAAAGCGACAAATCGACAAGCAGAACCAGCAACGGGCCCATCTGGCGCTATGGGCCATGTATAGGAAGGCAATGACGAGGAGACCAGGACTGGCTGCCCGTGACTTACACTGGCTATGTCGAATATGCCCGAAGACAGTAGCATCGAAGTTTTTCAAAACCCACGGTGTAAAGGCGACCTATCGTGGGCTCCTCGGGGCAGCCTCTGTAAGGCCTGTGGTCGACAATACTGGGGGCGAACCAGACTGGCCATACACCTCAGAGCGGCGCCTTCAAACGTGCGAATCCTACAACAACGGGCTCCAGAAGCTGAGAGCTTCCTACCCGGATAAGAAGCCGGGCGTGGAAGCAGGCTGCCGAGGAAGACCACGCCTTCTCAGGACCGGAGCGACAACAGGAGCAGCTGCCAGAAGGAGATGACATGTGCTGGACCCAATGGTACGGGACGCGCATGCAAGCGTGTGCGAAGTTCTGCAAGTGCATGGCCTGCCGGCAGAGCCACGGGCCCTGAAAGGCATCATCCGCTCGATAAATTCCCGCTCTACTTCCACGAAACCTTGGAGATTGGCGAGTACACGAGCCTGGAGATGACGGAGCTTTGCGAAGCGGGGCTGAGCACCTGCTGGAACGACGACCTCCTTGCTGTAATGGGAGCAGTGCTTTACAGCTTTTCAGCGGATCCGAGGGAGGTCGAGAGGTCAAGATCGACACTCTGGACGAACTCCGAGCCAAGCTTGATCAGATTTGTTGGTCCAGCTTGTGTGAAGATGTCGATGCAAGGCACGGGACCCAAGACGTCCTTTCTGTAATCCTGGACAGCGACTGGGAAGTTGCTTGGAGCTGTTCCAGTGAGACGATCGATTTAGCAACCGTGCTATGTGGACACGAGACACTAGTACCTCTGAAGCTCAGAGCTGCTTGGGATCAAGTTGTGAGTGGTTCCCAGTTACCATTCATGCTCCAGAAAGGTTCTGGGTACACGTGATCTCGAAGCCCTTCCACTAGGTCGGGCGCTGATGCGACTTAATTAGGCTGCGAACTACCTCTGGCAAAGCAAATGATAGCAAATGTAAGTAAGTAAGTATGTATGCCTCAGATGTATGTATGTATGCCTCAGATGTATGTATGTATGTATGTATGTATGTATGTATGTATGTACGTATGTATGTACGTATGTATGTATGTATGCATGCATGCATGTATGTATGTATGTATGTATGTATGTATGTGTATATGTATTTACCTACACGTAGACACACGCGACAGTAAGGCCTACGTGCATCATGTTTACACAGATGCAACCATATTGCATTCATGCCTGCTTGCTTGCTTCGTCGCTTGCATTTTTTTTGCTTGCTTGCTTGTGGCTGTCTTGCTATTACTTGCTTGCTTATGTGCATGCGCAGGTGTCAAGAGGTCTTGCATTGCGCGCACATATTGGTATACAAGCAGTTTTATTTGGTATGATCTCGTGCCTGTGGTGTGGTTCCTTCAGTTTGATGCGACTCTCGCAGTGCCAATTCATTGGCTGTCATGCGGATCGTTCTGTTGACACATGTCGCCTCGCTCCCCTCGTGGTTTAGGTGATGGGTTCTGATCCGCATTCCACAGCCAGCCCCGGCAACAACGACACGTGCAGCCAGTTGTCATGTTCGAGATGAGAAGTTGAGAGCGTGCCGAAAACTTGAGAAAGTCACCAGGAACGTGACGCCATGAGGTTCTATTTCAATCCCGGTGAGGGTAAACGGCGTCGACGACAGCGCCTCCAACGGGCTCGATCCCTGTGGTTGTCGTCACAAACAGCCTTCGCAAGTGGGAGGGACGGGGGTTGGGGTGGATTCCACAGCCACATGTATGCGAGTATGCACACATGTGCGTATGTCCGTTTGTCTATCTATCTGTCTGTCTGTACGCATGCGTGCATGCATGAATGTGTATGTGTGGGTGTGTGTTGGTATGTATGAGTATATGTATATGTGCGTGTACGGTATAGCCATATGCATCTACAACGGTGTCTTTCCAGTCGTCGATTCCCTTATATGTTTGTGCGTGCGTGCAGGTGTATGTGTAGGTGCGATTGCATGTGCATGCCTTTGTATGTGCCCACATTCCATAAGCTGGTTGATCGTGGAGGGGCTTGACCCAGGTCAGCTTCGGAGCCGAGCCTGCCTGCCTCGAGGGCGGATCCGTGGCTCCAGGTGCCGACCCCGCTGCTACTACCACCGCTTCTGCCAGCCACTAAGAAACTGCTCACGACCGTCAGAGATAATGAACATGACATTAGCAAAGTATCACTGCGAGAAGTACAGACAGAAACCTCTTAATCTCACAGGAAGCCCAATCTCCTGGCCTTTCAGACTTTTGGGTAGGTGGTCGCTGCACGCCGGCCTGCGAGGGAGGCTACGTGCCCTCCGAGGCTGTCTTGAGCTGCGCACGAGGCGGAATGTTTTCGATCAAGCTTGCCGTTAATCCTCAGTGACACCGTGACAAGCATGACTCCAACCCTGCCCATCAGAGTCTTGCCTGACCGTCCAGCACCACCTACATGAGCAAGCTCTATAGCACCGTTTGCAAGGTGTTGAAATGGATCTTGGGAAGCCTAACCAAGATCCGAAGCCTTTCCAACTTTGAGCTGCGCCAAATTGTTTCAGGTGATCTCAGTCCAGGCGCCTTTCGGTGCGACGAAGCAGCCTGTGACGCGCCCAGCGATGTGCTCTATGCTGCCAGCTGCCTGGCACAATTGGTATTCCTCTCTGAAGTGTCACAGCCGTGTAGCACTTTCCGATGTTTGCTTTGCTTGCGTCTGGCAGCTGCAGCTAGTGGGGCTGTGCCTGAGGCCAGGCCTTCGACTTACAAGGGTCATGATCATGACGACCCCATCGAAGACGTTACAGGTTCTGTCCGACCCCACTCCCCCCAGCCAACACAGTCAGACGTGACGAGACTTCGGGAACGAACACAATGGGGCCAGGCTTTGTTGCATCTGCTTGCTATTCGAGGTCCGTCCTGTAGTGGCCTTTTGCGGGTGACTTCCCGCAGCACTTGCACACCCCAGTGCCAGGAGTGGAGTCTTCGGGGCCGTCTGGGCTTGGGATTTGCGCAAGAGCATTCATCGGTCCTTGAAGGTCCATTATTGTTGTCAGTGTGACAAGGGTTCAAGTTGTTATGTGTAGACGAGTCTTGCAACGCATAATATATTGTACTGCTTTCGACGATCGGGCTGCTGATGGTCGCGAGGATGGATACTTGCCCAGTGAGACCAGTCTGCAGTGCATCCGTGGCCAGCTCTCTCCTGCGACGTTCGCCTGTGAACCAGGCCCCTCTGCGAATTGAAGCAGTGTGCGCTGTCTGCAGCAGTGAAGCAACGAGGAAAAAGGTGCTAGGCAGGTCGTGTGCGAGGCCGAGGTGGCACTGAGCCTCTATGGTTCTGGAATTCCAGAATATGTGTTGTGCCGATGACGAAGGTGTGACGGTGGACATGGGAATCATCATTGCCAGCGTGCCAAGTCACCTGGCAGCATCCACTCTTGGAGGTGAAGACGTCACTCGCGTAGACCAGATGTGCGCGCCAACTGCAACTCCTCGAATCCAATTCGTGCTCGGCTGTGCTGGGCCTGTGCCTGATGTATTCCGTCATCGAGTCTGTTCCCTGCTGCACCCAGTAAGGTTAGTGGGTCCTCGGCGAAAGCTGGTCTACATTCTTTTACCCAAAGTCGTTGTACACCACACAAGTTTCCGAACGTCAGCGACATTCAGCGACACATTTTGTCGGAAATGCTGAACGGCCATCCATGCAAAGCGAGAGAGAGAGAGAGAGAGCTTTGATGTTTGCTCGGCAATGGTCAAACAAGCAACCATGCTGGGATCCTTATTGAAACTCTCTGCGGGCGGCTAACCCATCAAACTAAGTGACCCAGTGACTGCATGGCACGCAATGCCGTGATGCTTCGACACATGTAGGCAGCAATCGCGAAACGTGCGCATCAACATGCCTGCGGTCGTAGCTTCGTTTGACAGCTACTCGGAAGCTCAACATAAAGAGGTACTCAAGCATTGCTGCAGCCCAAGTGCATTGGTCGGCTCTTTGTGTAACATCCCATCGCCATTGGTGTTGACAGAAGCCGCGTAAGGGAAGCTACTGTAAGACACCGTCGCTAACAGCGCACCCTTCAAGGAGACTGCTCGAGGCACTTAGCACGGAGAACTGGGAGCGCTGCACTGCACGCTGCTCACTTTGAAGTGGACCCTGTCAGGAAGAGCCCAACTCTGGATGATAGCTGTACAATACTCCTCTTCTGTACAACACCGGCCGAGTACGCACAACACGCTCCATAGCATGCAATGGACCTTTCACTTCGTACCCACGATGCTGGAGAGCAAGCACAACCACCGACGGTCCGACAGTCGAAGACCTGCACTGCCTATTCAGAGGTCGGCATCCATCGCAGTCATAATTATACCCACCTGTAAAAGTGTTTGCGTAGCTGCAAAGTGGCAACAAGATGTGTTTGCAGATCGCAGGCCCAAAAAACACGGCTGAAGCTTCTCTACCTTTTTGTTTGAAGGCTCACAATGCCAAATCTTTTAGCCAGATTTTTCAGCATGTGCCTTGTTCTCAGGGAATGAAGGTGCTTGCGTAGTATCACATCACTGCGATTTCGATGAGGGGCACACTTAATCTGCCAACAGAAAAGCCCCTCACGCTTAACCTCTTCCGAGAAAAATGGCCGCGGTTCATAGTTGTCCGGCCGTAAGAGGGCAATCGGATGAATTGCAAACCGGTGCGGTACGACCGTATACAACTCTGCCCTTCGCGAAGTGTGATCATCTCCAGACAGTAAGGTTGCCTGCTCAAGCTGACATGGGATTACCACTGAAGCCGCTGAAGTACGGAGGTGTTTCAACTTCTCGGAAAAGCCCCGCCATCCACAACAACTTTGATGCAACAGTGGTTGAAACATCCGGGAGTGACCGGTGTGCTCGGGCTTTGCTTAGGCACCATGCTGGCGGCTGCCCTGGCACTTCTCGCTGGGTACTGTGCCTGGAGCGGCCGCATCCCTCCAAAGACCGTTGAGCCATAACCTGAGGATGTATCGGCAGGATGTACTTGTGTGTCGCACGACCATGAATTGTGAACAGCAGAGAATTTCTGCTCATTTATTTGGTAGTACACGCGCTCACCTCATCTAGATCTCGTTTTAGCCCGGCAGCCTGGACTCTTCTCAAGACATTTCTTTCATTGCTACATTTGTTACGCGCGGCCGTCGCCGTCGGGTTGTGGTGCTGCGGTGCTTCTTGCAAGGTCACGAAACCATCGACATTGCGGATTTGCGGTCTTACCTACCACTACGACCTATGTATTAAGGCTTAGGCTCAGAAAATGAATCTGCCTGCCCCAGGCTGGACAGCGATCCACTGCAGGAGTGGTGGACTTGTGTTCATGAGGCCGGTCATGTGCCAGCAGCAAGCTTTCATCAGGCGCTCATTCAGAGTCGATGATAACTGCAGCCCCATAGCAAATACAGTACTTTGCAATGCTTCGCGCGAGAGTGATCCGTGCCTGGAAAGAGGTGGAGCCAGGCGTGTGCATCTTCTGCGGAAAGCAGCCTGAGGAGGTTGAAACCAGGCACAGATCGTTACTTTCGGAGTGTGGACGGTCTGAGAAACCGAGTGCATCACTCGCGCAGGTACGAGGAACACGGGCCGGCTTCGCTTTTCAGGTGCAGTGGAGAGCCTTTCAGAGCTTGTCGGAGTAGGTCCGAGTGCCGCTTCCCCTGAATGTCTCCTTCACAGGTCTTGTCGCGCTTGTGCGGCGCTGCTTGGGTTTGAGGAAGAGGAGGAAGATGAGGAGCCGAACATGTTTGGGCCGCCAGCCCTTCGCCAGCTCGCAGTTTGAAGAACGACGACACAGGGTCGGTTTACCTTGAAAGTCCGTCAGTCGAGCAGTGAAAGTCAGACGTTCCAACCTTCCAGCTGAGAGCCTTGTCAGGAGGAACCGCCAGAAGACTCGGACCCTTCAGAGGCCTACTTGGGGGTCTCCACCGTCGCAAAAAGCAAGGCTACAAGCGTAAGCGAGAGCATCTCTGAGAGAGCGGCGTGGAAAGTCTGAAGTTTAGTGGGCAGCAGGGGCTCCGTGTCTTTGTTCTTTGTCCTCTCGCAGCGGTCAGGCAGTGCCCCCACCACAAGTGACAGTGGACACTTTGCCTCCAGAGAGCGACGTAAAGCCGCTCACTGAGCGAGTCTGGGTTCGGCGTTTCTGTGGGTCGGGATTCGCCCTTGCCCGGCCCGCAGTAGAGTCAGCAGAGGTCCTCCTCCGAAGCCGCAGCAGGCCCCGAGAGTGAGGCCCTCAGTGTTGTTGCGGAGCTACGGCTTTCACCTTCAGATTCATGGTTCAGGGTTCAGGAAGCGACGCAGGTGGTGAGAGGGACTTAGTTGCATGGACAAGCCCAAAAATGTATTTGGGCCGACAGTAATTGCTGGTGACAGATGAGGGATCTTCGCAGCAGTGCCGCTTTTCGGTGCACTCCCTTTAACACTCTGCACGCAGAGAGGTCTAGATCCGAAGCTTTCATTTCCAAGCCGAAGCCCTTGGACCTGGCCTGAATGCCTGAATGATGTCCCGCATTTTGCTCAGCTCGGATTGGGTTGATTTCAGGGCTGGTAGGCAATCTCGTGAAGAGTTCCAGGATTCCTTGCTTAATTTTTGCTTGAGCTTGAAAAATGAAAGGTTCAGCAAACGGTCAATTGAGGCTCGGAGCCTGAGGAGAAGCCACTTTTCTGCAACCAGACTCGACATCTGGTGGCGAAAGTCACGTCCCCGCCTGCGTCATCGGAGGATGAGGTATGGAAGTTTGGAGCAGCATGTTTCGACAGTGCTGTCCGAAGTTGCGGGTGACAAGAGACGCTGCACGTCAGTTTGTTTTGCCATCTTGTCGGATTCATGCACAGCCTGCGTGACTCAGGACTCCGCCGAGCCTACTCGCTGCCTCTCCTGGCTCCATCAGCCACTGGTCTTGCCTGTGCCTCCCGCTGAAACTCAGAGCCCTTCAGCTGAGGCGATGCTGTGGCAGGACTCAAACTGGACGACTTGCTGAAAGACCAGGCCTCCGAGCTTCCGAACCGAGCCGGTTTGCTCTGTCTCGTATCTCTTGTGTTTCGCAGGGGTTGTATATTTTTGTGCATCCTTCGTCCCCCTGTCGGACCCACGTCCCTGGAGTTGGCGAGGCGCTGGATGGATTGGACGGGCAAGGGCAAGGCTACGAACCAGGAAGGCCCGCTGCAAAAAACACGCTCGGAGTGGTGATCTAAAGCGCCGGCTTTCCGAGATGCGTCCTGTGCAGATTAAGCCCAACATTCGAGAGCGACCTTCTCAACCACTCAGATGCTCCTCAAATGTCCGAGAGACTTTCAGGCAGGGTTGCGGGTAAGCATGAAGAAACACAAAGCATCCCTTGCACGCCCTTCTGTCCTTCGTCAGACCCTGAATTTCGTGAAGATGCTTCAGCACCATTGCGCAGTGATCGCTTGAGCACGAGGAGGGGCAGTCAAATTGTTGAGTTGAGAAGCACTTGGTGAGACTCAAGACAAGAGACAGGGACTGCCTGCGAAGACAAACTCAGTATGTTTTTTTCTTGAGCCGGAGTGGTTTCAGGACGCCACATCGCTCCGACTTCGGACGAGGCGTGTGCCGGCATAGAGCAAGGGCCCAGAATCCCAGAGAAAATCAAGGCACGAGTTTTTTTGAAGAGGTTTTTTTTCCCTAATGCGCGTTTAGCTTAGGCAGCCTCGTGTCTTGGGGCAGCTCCCTTCGTTGCCTCGGCCCGCCAGGCGCCGGGGACCTTGGCCGTCTCTCCAGGTCACGGGAAGCAGAGAGGCAGAGGAAATCACTCGATCCTCTTCTGCCAGAGCTGCAGCTCGTTCTCGGGAGGCTCACAGAAGTTTCAGCTTCTTTTCAGCTCAGGAGCAGGGCAGCTTTGAAGCCACGGATGCGCGAGATGCTGGGCTCCCTCCGACCCTTCCCAGGCGTGTAGGAGGGGCATTTTTTGTTGTTGTTTTTTTTTTTGCATGTGGGTATTTGTTTTGGCCTCGTCCGCTTTTTGCTTTTGCGCTTCTCCACTTCGGTCGTCCTGTCATTGTCTGCTTCCGCGCTTTTGATTTTCCGCTTCTCCGCTTCTGTGTCTCGGACCACTTTTTGCTGCCTGCCCCGCGCCACGCGTCTACGCTTCTTGGCAAATGCCAGGAGCACGCCGCAGCAGGAAGCTTGTTGTAAGGAGCACCTTGTCGTCTCCCATCCCGAGTAAGGGAGAGGCCTCAAACAAAATCAACATGCATCAACAGAAGTTCTACATGGGAACGAAAGAAGAAATCAAAGGAAGAAAGAAAGAAGTAAATAAATATATAACAGAAGAGGCAAAGAAGGAAAGAAGATGCATAGCTAACGGACGAAGTGAAGCATGAAGTAACGAAAGAACCCAAAACCACACAAAGACAAAAGAAAGAACCAAGTAAAGAGATAAATAATGAACGGAACAGAGAAACACATGACTAACTAAGCCAAAAAATCAAGACACCATCCAAAAGAAAGAGAAACAGAAAGAAACACCGCACGTAAGAAATAATGAAACAAATAAGGAAGGAACGAAAGAAGTAATGAACAACGAAATACATAATGAACGATAGAACGAAGAACGAACCACGGAAAGAACAGCGCACGCACGAACAACATAGTTGTGAACGACAGGAAACAGAAACACTGAACCACAACGCACGAACTACTTAGATAACGTGGAGCAGGTGTAGATATGTATATATATATATATGCATATTAAATGTAGTTTAGAAGTACGTTCTCTCTCTCTATATATATACATGTATCTATATATATATATAGATACATATACATATATATATATATATCTATCTATCTTTAACCGAGTTCGTATATATATATATACATATACACATGTGTGTGCCTGTATGCATATATACGCATACACATGCATACATATACGAAGCATGCATGTATATATATATATATACATACTCACAAATAACGAGGGATGGATAGAACCACATCAAATAGAAAATCAAAGAAAGACAAAAATACTGAGAGAAATAACGGCCCAGTACATCATATCTAAGATAGTAAATAACTCATATAGAAAATACACACACACATATATATATATATATATATATCATATGTATGCATGCATGCATGCATGCATGCATGCATGCATGTCTGTGTGTATGTATGCGTGCAAATATACTTATGTATGTTATAGATATTTAGTGCACAGTTACAGTGCAAGTACTATATATTCAGTATAATACCAAGTTTTAGAATTAAGTATACTATAATATTGGGTATCATATCCATCAAATATAGTACAATAAAACATAGCATAATAGCATAAACGAATATATGAAATCAGTACAAAAAATATACTACAGTATGGTATTTTTCAGCAAGACGGGCAAACCGCCCCTCTGCCCGCGGAGGCTGTGCCCGGCCGCCCACCCGCCCAAACCCCCCGCTCGTTTAAGCCATGCAAACTTGCTTCTAAGAACGGCCTGCTATCAATGGTCATTCCTTCATGAAGCCTTTCAATGAGCCCAATCACACGAGCATTGCGTTTGCAAATTGGGGGGGCCTGCGCTGCATGTATGTATGTATGTATGTATGTATGCATGCAAATAATATGTACATATGTATGTTACAGATATCTGCAGCACAGTTACTATGTTGGTACTATATTGTCAATATGAGACAATGTATGATAATCAGTATGTTTTTTCAGTCTAATATGATATAGGATACTTTCAACACAATGTATCAATTGTTTCCTCGCAAATGGTTCGATCTTTCTCTGACTCCGAAATTGGTGCTATGAACCGGGCTCGCCAAATAGGGGCGTGTTTAAGATACGTGATGAAAGGGAATCGCCAAATGACCGGGCGTGTTTAAGATATACACTGAACAGGAATCGGAATCGCCAAATGATGGGGCTGTGTTTAGGATATATGATGAACCGGAATCGCCAAGCGAGCGGCGCGTGTGTAAGATTATGATGAAACGGAATCGCCAATTGAAGGGGGCGTCTTTAAAATTGATGGTGAACCGGAATCGCCCAACGGCTTGAGGAGCCTGGAAATGGCAATTCCTAACTAGCTTGATGCAAAGCAAGACCCTGCAAATCGGAATTCCCTACTAGCTTAATGCAAAGCAGGACCCTGCAAATTGTAAGCCTCCAAGAGCTTCACGCAAAGCAGAACCATGGAAACTGCAATTCCCCAATAGCTCGACGCAAAGCCCGAGCCTGGAAATTGTAATCCCCCAATAGCTTGACGAAAAACTGAAGCCTTGGAGTTGCTGCAAGCACAACCGCATAAATTATGTTTGTCCGATAGCTTGCTGAAACATTTAAGATTTAATTTTGTGATGCATGTGATGCTCCGCCCCCAAGTAAGTACCAGTCAAGTACTGCCAAGCACTAGCGGATCCCGGACCGTGCCCGCAGCAACCATTAGTCTCTGCACTCTTCATGCAACCCGCCGGTACTGATGTGCCAATATGGTTTTCCGCAAGTACTGGCGGATCCCGGAGCATGACCAAAATGCTGTCCCATGGCCGGCGGGTCATCGCGCAGACGCTCGACGACCCGCTCCCGGAAAATAACACACAGACGCCAAAAAAATCCCACAGAAATTCTGCAGCCAGTTTCGAGCATGGATTGTTGGTTTGGCCCTGTCCTGTGCCCAGGCCAAGCCAGCGCAGACGTGTTGCCTGACTCAAGCACACTTGTCGGTTTGGTGCTGGCACAGCAGTTCAATGATGGCGACTTCATCAAACGTTTCAGCTGAGTCAGTTTGCATCGAGGTGTCGGTTGTGCTGGGACAATCGTGTTTGCAAAGGACTCCTCATCCCGCTACACAGCCGACTATCGACGAGCCACAGCAGAGGCAGCATCTATGCTGAAGTTCCGGAGTCGGTTCTTGCTCAGAGATGCTCCCGGCGGCTCGCCGTGCCGCTCGCCCAGGAGGCACCTTCGGCTGTTCCTGACCGGCGGCCTGAGCGGCTTGAGGTTGGACTCGCAGTCCGATGCAAGCTGGCACCAGCAGCCGCAAGGCACGACCGGTTACATCTGCAGGACTGGGATGCCTCACGCCAGCGCAGTCGCCGCACGAGGCAGCACTTTGCGGGGCAGCATGGCACTTTTTTGGTGCTCATGAGAGGGTGGCATGCTGCGCAGCCAAACAAATGTATGCTGCTGATGATGCAAGGGATAACCGACGGAGCCTCTTCACAGATCGGGCACGGCGCTCAGTCAGATGCATCGGAAATTCTCGCATAGGCGAGCTCCACACTCTCCAGGATGTGGCATCCCCCGAGCAGCACTGGGACAAGGCCTCGACGCGTGACACATATGTGGATGAGGCTCGGCCGCACCTTGATTGACCGTCAACCCCCATCAACTCCCCGCAGTTGGCATCAACTTGTAACTAGTCACATGGCTGCCAAGGACAGGCGTAGAGCACCTCGCGAGTCGACAGGTCGCTTGGCACCTACCTTCGTCTCGCAGGGGTGGATGTCAAGAACCCAGAGCCTTCGGTATTGTAAGGCATTCGGGGTATGGAAACAGGCCTGCGAAAAGTCTTACGAACCAGAATTTGACTTTTGTCGAGGAACGCCTTTCTCCAGATAGCCGCAAGCTGTGAGACACGGACATGATATGACTCCACGACCTTATTGTACCGTCCATCATGTGGAGTCCGTGTGGGTGGTGGGATTGCTCAGGACCCGAAAGACAAGAAAGAAATCGCGAGGCGCGACGAAGCTGGCGGCTCAGGCATCAAGCAAGAGTCTGCTGGCAGTGGACACAAAGGGATCGCAACTGAATCAAATCCCTTCAGCACGGCCACTGGTCAGAAGGCATTGCGTGCAAGGCATGCAGGATTGTTGGGAAACATTTGCGACGGATGTAAGGTGAGGCCCCAGCTCAAATGCTCGCTGAGGTCAAGCGAGGGGCGGCGACCGTGCCCTAACCTGCAGTTGCACCATGTTCTTTTCTAGTTTTTCTAGCCGATTCTAGCCTCAAGCAGACAAGAGGAGTGTTGTGCTGAGTCAGGTTCTCAGCGCAGCTTTTACGAATGACGCGTCGCGACTCTACAGCCAGTTTTCTCGGGCGGAGTGCGGTTTCTCAGCAAACATCTAGCGCATGCAGAAGCATCGGCCCGTTGCTACTGTAGACGTACTTCGAGGAGTTTGTCTGTCCATGGATGCTCTTGCATGCCTTCGAATTCCATTGCTTTTTCATGCTGGTTACATGGCGTAGAGACTCTCAGACTGTGGTCTGCAGAGCATGCGGAACTTCAGGAGCCTTGGTACACTCAGACTTTGTACCCAGCATACCATGCACGATGAATTCAGGACGGCAAGGCTTGGCCCAGGAACGTCTCTATGAAAGATTTTTCGCAAGGCAAGCCCCCATTTCCAGGCCGAGGCCCTGCCAGATTTCCCCCTGAGTCTCCTTCTCCCCATGAGGCGAGCCGCGCCCTACTCCTCGCAAAGAGGAGGGCCAGTCTCAGAGTGTCCGCAGTCTTAGCTGCACTGTGTACAGCGGCATATTGCTTGAAGATCAGGCAGGCCTTCTCCGGATCTCATGGTGGTTGTGCCCTTTAGACAAGCACTCCATTTCTGTCTCTGCAACTCTTGCAGGAGAACCACCATGTCGTTAATTCAGATGCGTGGTACAGTTAGGACATTGCATTTGCAGCGGAGCGCAGAATGCTTGCGAGGTTGTGACTGTATTGCAGAACCTTGGCAGACGTATCTTCGCCATGACTGCGCTGCGCACCACATCAGAGCATGTGTCAATACCCGTTGCTCTTCCAAAGGTTGAACCCAAAGTACCGTCATCTTTGCCAAAGATTAGGCCGGACACCGAGCTGACACTGGAAGCACTGGTGCAGGAATCTCCGCCTGGTTTGAGTCATCAGGGCCTTCTGATGTCGGCGTGAGGCTTGGACAGCGATAGCGACGATGAAGCACAAGTCTGCAGCTCAGCACGAGAACACGCCTCGAGAACGCATCTGCAACTGTCGTGAAGCGAAGTTCAAGCATGTTGACGCAGTGTCAGACACTGGTGGGCATTGTACTGGCAGCTGTGATGCTAAGAGGTGACACCAGCCGCCTAAGAAGCGATTGATCGCCGCGTGCGCCAATGATGCAAAGCTCGTCGAACACGCCAGCAGAAAAGCAATGGGTTTTCCGTAAGTGCCTTTGTTCTCTAGAGCATGATTGCTCGACACTGGGACGTTGCAGGCAATCGTCTCCGGATTGCGATTGAATCAGGAGCAATGCTTTGTCAGGGTGTTGTTCGCATACTTCTTGGTTTGATATGTCGCATTGCTCGAGTAACGAGATGCCGAGAGTACCGGTGTATGCCTTCACGATTTCGATTTGTGACTTGACTGTTGCGATCTGGCTCAAGTCACGTCCCGCCAGCTGCGGTGGAGACTCGTGCAGGCATGTTGAGGGGCGCAGCTGGTAATTTCTCTGTGCTCGTCACCTGAGGGAATGCAACCGAGATCAGGCATTCGCGAGAAAAGCCTCCTAAAAAGTGCCCAGAAGGCACATCCCCTAGCGACTCTAGCGTGTCCTCCGTGATCTTGGAAAGATGCGGCTCCCCTCTCCAATGGCTGCACTCCGGTTTCTCAGCAGATCCACAGTTGATAGGGCTTGCAGAGGCAGGGGCCGTAGAGCTGGCAGGCCTCCTGGCCAATGGCCTCCGAAGAGCAGAGGCAGCCAGTTGGGCCGCCAGTTGTGAGCTTGAGGCTGAGTTCGACTCGGCTCTGGTCGCAGGCCGGCTGAGGAGCCTGGCAAGAGCAGCGTTCTGGAATCCACCGGAAAGCCGGGCGCTCGCAAGCTGCAGCTGTAGTTCTGCAGTGAGCTGCCGCTGTCCTGTCCAAGCTACGTGCATCGGGCATCGTGGAGGACATGGTGTCGAGGGGCGTGGTTGGTGTCAAGCATTTGTGCCCTAACCTAATCCAGCCGCATTCAGGTCTGTCCTGGCAGACGGAGCTCAAACGGCCCGCGGAACCGAACTGAGGTCACCCCTTCTCAGAGTAAATCATGCAGCACACAAGCGGCACAAGCGCTGATGTAAGTTCGGTGGTGTGGCTTTTAAGGGCTCTGGGTGGTCCCATGTTTTGGAGATGGCTATATATACGTACATATATATATATATGTATACATATACATATATACAGTATACATATATACATCTGCTCTCTCTCTCTCTCTCCATATATATATATATATATATGTATATATATGAGTGAATTTAGGGCCGATTCATAAGGCGCGATGACATGAAGAGGTTCTGCGAGGTATTTGTAGACTTTTGGGCAGGTATGGCCGCTCGGCCTACTCTGGTGGCGAGGATCCCGGAGACCGGCACGAGAAGCTGCGCGCGGAAGCGGAGGTGCGCTGGGGTCAGGGCTGAAGGCTAAAGGCGCATTTTGGACCCAGCTGCTCTGTCTTGTCCGTCGGGTTCAAGATTCTGCTCCTCCCACCGAATTTCCAAAACCTCATGGAGGGTAGAAAACCTAATTTCAACCAGTGCTTGCCCGATGTGTGAGATTCGCAGAGAATCGGCTGCTGAGGCTCGCTTCTTCGACTCGCCGTACGAAGCCGATCGCGTGTCGGCCTTGCGTGTGAGGCTCAGGGCGTCCCTGTCGCCCTTTCGCCATCGCCTGTGTCTGCAAGTCCGATGGTGTAAAAGACTTCTGGCACAGTGCCTTTCAAAGATCGGTCGGCCATGTTGAAAGCCCGAAACCAGAATGATCACATACTAGTTTTCCTGTGTTTGTAGAGGCCGGGGATAGCTGTTGTTGATTGACGGCAAGCTGTCGGCATGAATCCGGTCTGTCATTCGCGGCTGTGCTTGGACGAAGCCTGAGGTCACAAATTTCCGCGCAAGAAGGCTAGTACTGTCGTCTGTGGGCATCTGCTTGGGTTTTCACTGCTTCTGAGTGCGCATTCCTTCCTTGATGCAGACTCAGAGATTCTAGGGAACATATTCCCGGCAAGAAATGAGGAACCATCCACACGTTTCAGAGCAGGATGGACCGCGTTCAGGTCGTCGGCCGAGCGGTGAGGTGCGACACTTGTTCACACCGGTCGCCGTCGTCGTTCTGGTCCTAGTCCTAGTCCTAGTCCCAGTCCGAGCCCTAGCCCAAGCCCAGCCCCCAGCCCGAGCCCTGGCCTTAGTCCTGGCCCAAGTGCTTCTCCTAGACCGAGTCGTCGCCGGGTTCGGAGCATGATAGCACTAGTAGTAGTAGTAGTAGTAGTAGTAGTAGTAGTAGTAGTGCAAGCGCACAGAGTGGTGCCGTGGTCGAATGGGGCAAGTGCAAAGCTGGGTGCGAGCAGTTCAAGACTAGTCAAAGGCCGTCACAACAGTCGCAGTAGCCACACTTCAATTGTCAGTTGAGGACAAAGCACCGTAGAGGGGTGTCCGGAAATCTTCAAGGGGCCGTTTCTGGTTTGCGAGCTTGCCTGCAGACCTCGGAAGAGGAGGAACCGGTCCGACGGTCTCCGACTGAGTCTGAAAGTTGCGACATTCACAGCCTACAATGCCTGATGAATGCTCTGCTTGCTGTGCTACCCTCAACATTTCATGTCCAGCGTAGTTGTGTAACTAGCTGATACAAAAGCACTGCAGGTGGCAATTTTCACGTGAGGCTGTCAGCAACGTGGCAAGCTAGCTCTTGAATCAGCGAACAGCAAACAGTCTGCAAAGTGGTGGACATATGATGTTGCACACCAGCCGGTTCGCCCTCTGGCGATGCTCTGAATCTGCTGTTTGTGTTGCAGCCCACAGCACATGCCGAGGAGAATAGCTGGCTTCCGTTTGGGATTTGAGAAAATCTTCAACACGACGTGCCCTGGCCAGATGCAGTGACAGTGACTGCCCTGTGGCGATATTTGCTCCCTTGGGCCGCTGCGTACATGCTCGTGAATTAAAGCAAAATAAATTCAGACTTGCACTTGCGTAGGCGACAGTCAAACCCTGCAAGATCCAATCTGGCGTATTTCACTGAGACCATGCACTCGGTGCCGACTGTAGCCTCACTGTGTTATTCGTGGATGCCAGGTCCATCCGATTGCCGTGCTCTGCATACACTGTGTATGCCGAGCTGCGGTCGTCTCATACAAACGAGGCTCAGCATTGTGCAGCTGCATTCTGCGAGTGTTGCCGGGACGTGGTGTTGAATGAACGAGCACGAGAGTCTTTTTCGGATAGACAGTCTGCTCTCTAGTTTGAGGCATTTTGCCGATGCTTCAACGGTTTACACACAGTGTACGACCTGAAGAAGTGGGTTGGTGCCTCAGACACAGCTTGGCTTTTAGAGACCAGTCATCTATCCAGCGCCACCGCGATGTGACAGACAGGGGTTTATGCACCTTCATAACAAGGTTTATGAGAAGCTGATGCTGCCTATGAGCGCCTACGAGCTCTCCTATGCGGAGAGCGGGAAGGCAGACCGGGAAAGAGCCAGGACGTCTGTGAAATGTCAGTATGATTGATTAGAATGTCGTGAGCAGTTTGCTAGAATGGTGGCAAAGATCTTTCTCTTAGACATCTTTCTCTTGATGGTCAAACGAGTGGAAGAGATTGTCATACTGGTACAGCTCGCTTGTGCGAGGGGGGGCCGCCGCGCCTAAGACAGAGACACTGCCAGAAGTCGGGCGGCATGCCTGTAGGCATCATGACATGATTGGACAGACCATTGCAGCAGTTGTGCTTGAAAGGTGCAGCTGACAGACAACATGCGGCTGCTAACGACCCAGGACGTGTTGTGTCTGGCTGTCTTGGGTCCTTGCACCTTCCTGCACATGGTTCGTCACTGCATGCCTGGTGGCGATTCGCAGCAAGAGGACTCTTTGGATTCTCGCTCCATGGCTACCATGCGAGTGTTGCAAGACATGCCTGGACCCGAGCCCGGCAACAAAGCCTGCTTCGAAACACGAGATGTGGTGAAGCTGTGTTTTCTGGGGGGCTCATGGGCCTTGCACTGTATGTTCATAGTCGGGAAGTGTAGAGAACTGGACGTGCAGGGTGTCCCGAGCACTCTGCGAGAGTTTGTGTGCGATGACTTTTGAATTGACAGCTTCCTTCAGGGCAGCAGGCGTTCCTGGAGTTGCCAGCGACCCAGAGCTTTGCAAGCTCCTACCAGTGTAGCATGTTGACTTTCAGAGCTTGTGGCCGTTCGACCAACTTCGGCTGGAAATGAAGAGCAAAGCCATTCACCCGTGCGTCATGCGCGACCGACCCATTGCCAGCATTCCATCGGCGACATCGGCGTGACGCGCCTGTACGTCAGGCCTTGCGCTGAGAGCCCGTTGGCATCAGCATCCTCCCTTCGAAAGGGATTGTAGCGGACATGCGCGGTTCCTGACGGTTGGCAAACCTACTAGCAGGAGTCCTGGGTTGCCTTAAAGAGAATCCGGAAGTTCTCTGTTGCCCCGTCATGGCTTCTCCCAGTTCAACCAGGCTGAAGTGCCGAACCTGTGGCGACTTGCTGAACAGCCACTCCACGCAGCAGCCCTGATGATCTGCAGCAATGCTTTAATTTTTGCTGACTGGCTGCATAGCATCACTGGAGAAACTAGTCCAAGGGGCATGGGCCCAGTAGCCCCTGGCACTCCAATGATTTGCGCATCTCTGCCCCTGTAGCTATTGCCGTGTTGCAAGGTGCAGGAAGACCAAAGCTATGGGCTACATAGGCCTTGCGGTGTGATCATGTTGCCATGGTCCTCTGAACAAGGCTTTGTTGAGTTGCATACCAGCTGCCTGAGGTACCTGACTCGCGGTGCTTTGAGTACTCGACTAATCACGACGCCGTCATCTGTTAGAGCTGAGACACTAAAAGCCGTTGCTAAAGACCGACTCTTGCAACCAAGCGTCGCGGAGCGTGTGTCTGACCCGTTGCCAGAACCGGCCGTCAATGGGATGAAACCCGGCAGCTCGAAGCCGTCATCATCCCATAGCCTGAAGACGCTCAAGTCCCAAAAGTCCATGATCTCGCCGCAGTCTTAGCTCTGCGCCGCAGCAGCATGGCATACGCGTGTCTTCCAAGTGGTGACACCACCAGATGCCTACCGCTTTCCCGAGGCAAGAAAAAATCATGCGAGGAGCCGAAGGCTGACCTGAGTCTTTGGAATGCTGGTAACGGCTGTTAGACTTCACACTATAATAGAAACTGACTCACGGCTTGGTTCAATGGGCCGCATGTATTGCTGCGATGGTGTGAACCGTATCAGGAGATGTAAAGGGCAAGCGAAAAGAGTGTAGCATCGATCCTCTCTGGTGCAGATCGGCCGCATGTCTCCGGTCCTCCCAAGCCAGACAAAGAAGGCTGGACCTGCAGTGGTTCTGCCATGACTCGGCTCGACATGGACCGAAGCCGCTGAAACAGAGAACACATCGGCAGCCCCTTGTGGTTCAAGCCACCCGCGTCTTGCTGACCTTGAAATGGGAAAAGTGTCATAAGCTGGAGGTTTCACAAATTGGCACGTGAACCCTGATTAGGAGGTTTGTCTATGGCATTTAGCAGCATGCGGGCACGAAGGACCCGAGAATCTAGTTCTGCGCAACAGTGGGGAGCTGCGGTGTAGAATTCTAGTATCAGTTTTGTGCTGCCACACGGTGTGGCCACCAATACCTCGTGTACAGCATGGCCCCGAGGTGCGCTTTGGCAGGGCAGCAGAGCCACAACTGACTGTGTCTAATCAAGTATTAACTAGGTTTGCGAACCTGGTCAGACACCAACAATGAGAGCAACGTTAGCGTTGCTCTCGCGTACTGCTGTTACTTTGGTGCGAGCATTGGCGCCCACGTTGCAGTATCGCATTCGTCATAGTTGAACCAGTATCGTCACTGCCCGATGATATTGATGTTGATGCTGTCGATGATGATACTGGTGATGTTGTTCTTGTTGTTGATGAAGATGATTATGGTTCACAACTCTCAACAGTTATCAACATGGCCGTCATGATCATATTCATAATTGCCACCATTATCGGGCAGCATCAGAGTCATGACCACAGACATCGCCGTCATCCTCGTCATCCCTGCTACCTCCGCAGTCATCACCTGTGGGTACTGCTACACCTACTGCTTCCCGTTGACGGCATTTCGCTTCTGTTAGCATGACATCCGTCGTTCCAATTAAAATTGGCCTTGTCAGGACCTGGAAAGTGGTGGGAGGCCGTCATGACGCTTTTTGACAGAACCGAGACACAGCGATCCTCCAAGCCAAGACTTGGGACTTGGGAGTGACGCACAGAAGTAGCCTGTTGGAGGTGGAAGTGCTGGCGGCATTGTGGTTCGGTCTGGCCAGAAGCTGGCCTCTGATCAGCTTGCCGATCGATTGGCGACGGGAGCTCTTGTGAAGGCAACCTGCGCTTACGGCTGTTCAAGCAGACTTAGCTGCGCTCAGGAACGGCGGTTGCAGGTCATCCTGCAAAGACCTGTTCAGTCTTAAAAGCTCTTTGCCCAGGCCGCTAAGCAGTTTGGCTCAGCTTTGCCTCTAGATTTTTTGAAAGTCCCAGAGAAAGCATGGCATCGAAGTCCACTGCTTCCATGGGTCTTACCCTGGGCGCAATTGGCGCGGCCTCTCTTTGGGCCCCCGCCGCGGTTCAGGCCTTCGTGGCACCGTCGGCATCTCCTTCGGCACCTCAGCTGCGTGGCGCGACCGAGGCCAGCGAGAAGAGTGCCAGCCCAGCCAGCCAGGCTGCTGCCGCCGCTGTGGGCACTGCTGCCCTGGCTCTGGCCGCCACTGGACGCCGTCACCAGCGCGGAAACCTAGCACGACGGGCTGAAGCCACTGGCGTCACCGACGAGAAGCCCTTTGCTGGTGGTCTGATCGGCGGTGAGTCAGCCTTTGCAGGCCAGGCCTTCAACTTCGACCCCCTCGGCCTGTCTGTCAAGTGCGAGAAGTATTTGCCTTGGTTCCGGGAGTCTGAGCTCAAGCACGGCAGGACCGCGATAAGCTTTCCATGCTAGACTGCGAAACTGCGGTGGGTTTGAGCCTTCAAGACCTTCTTGTGTGATCACCTCTGTTCGACCCATGTCCAGGATCGCCATGCTTGCCTTTGTGGGTTTGGTTGTGCCCGAAATTGCGCGCATCCCTGGCACTCACCCGTGCTATGCGGCCAAGACTGTTGTGGAGGCTCACAACGCCTGTGCAGGCAATCCCCCGCTTCCTTTCATCATCAATGCCGAGAATTTCTTCGGCACGGAGGACCAAACAGGACCCCTGTTCCAGGTGTACGCTTTCTGCGGCGCAGCCGCCTCAGTCCAAGGTGGTTCTAAGTTCTATGCCCCTAAGCATTCAACTTGGTAGCTGCCTGCTTGCCTGACCCCTCGCGCGTGTGGTTAGGTCATCGAGATGTTGACCACCTTCGCCAAGTCGTGCAATGTCTCGAACAAGCCTGGCCTCACTCTCGAGAATGCCGGCGACTACCAGCTTGGCACAAGCTTCCTTCCTAGCGACCCTGCCAAGGTCAAAGAGATGAAGCTCAAGGAGTTGAAGAACGGACGCCTTGCAATGCTGGCTTTCGGTGGAGCCATCACGCAGGCCACCCTGACGGGCAATGGCTTCCCTTGGCTCTATGCCCAGAAGGAGTCCACCTGCGCACTTAGCTCCTCCGTCTCCCCTGCCACGGGCTCTCTTGCTGCAGGAAGGAGCAAGAGCCAGCGCGGAGCGGTGGCCAGACAAGCCGGCTACAAGATGAGTGCAGCTGTTCCCTTCCTTCCCATGTCACCAGCTTTGGAGGGCATCCCGGGTGAGGAGGAGGGCTTTGACCCGATGGGCTTCTCCCTGGCTTTCGAGATTGGTTGGCTGCGCGAGGCAGAGCTGAAGCACGGCCGTGTGGCAATGCTTGCAACTGTTGGATGGATCACCACGGACCTGGGACTTCGAGTTCCCGGCGATGCTTTCCAGGTATCTACCATTGAAGCTCATGATGCCATGGTGAAGTTCGGAGGTATGCCTCAGATCCTCATTTGGTGCGGGCTTTTGGAGGTCCTTGGACTCTTCGCTTACACGAACATGCGGGAGGGGAAGACGGATCGCAAGCCTGGAGACTTCGGTCTGCGTGGCTTCTACCCCCAGGATCCGAAAGGCCAGTATGAGATGCAGGTCAAGGAGCTCCGCAACGGTCGCTTGGCGATGCTCGCATACTCTGGCATCGTGACCTCTGCCGTTCTAACACAGGAGAAGTGGCCTTTCTTCGATGTGGTCCTCAACGCAGTGAGCAACGATGCCAGGAGCTCTGCCTTCTGCGGAGCCGTGGCGCCCGAGCGGGTCAGCCGAACCGTCCGTGCGGCCTCTTCCAGCAAGAGCCTGCCTTTCTTGCCGAAGCCTGCAAACCTTGGTGGACTGGTTGGAGGTGAGGCCGAGTTCGATCCTCTTGGCTTTTCCGACCTCATCGACATCAAGTGGCTTCGGGAATCCGAGTTGAAGCATGGCCGCGTCTGCATGCTTGCAACAATTGGCTTTGTTGCAGAGCAGTACTGGCAATTGCCAGGTTTCGAAGGTGCCCCGGATGCTTTGCAGGCTGTCTACACTGCTCCCCTGAATGCCTCTGGGGTGCTGCTCTTCCTTGCTGGCTACATTGAGAGCGCGTCCTATGGAGGCAAGATCACAATGCTGGACATGTTCGAGGGAGACGGGGCCAAGCGCGCACCTGGTGACCTGGACTTCGGCAAGCGATTCCTCCCCGCTGACAAGGCAGCTGCTGACGATCTCGCGGTCAAGGAGCTTACCAATGGACGCCTGGCCATGTTGGCCATCTCAGGAATGATCCACCACAACCTCATTGTCAAGGGCCCCCTCTTCCCTCTCTTCCCCGAGGGCTACGTGGGACCGCAGGGCTCTTGGGACCTGGACAGCGTGGCTGGCGCCCTCAACAGCGGCCGCATGGGTCTCTGAGCGCCCCAACAGAAAGGCTGCAGCTGACAGATTTACGTCCACTAGGGATGTGCGGAGCTTTACCAACCTGCTGAGCAAAAAGTATGCCCTTGCACGCCCGCCCGATGTTCTTACAATCTGCATGAAGCAAGTCTGCTTCGGATTGAGACGGCAGGAGCTGAAGCTAGAAGGTGACCGGCTTAACTTCGAGCTGGTCTCCGGCAAAGGCCTGCAAGAACAAAATCTTGAGTCTTTATCCCAGCTGCATGCTCCACCAGCAATTGAGTGCGCGTTAGCCATCCTGCCAGCTGTGGACGCTCCAGCTGACTCTCATCTGAAGCCCTGAAGCTCACGTCCACTCCTCAGATATTCCCAACAAGCAGGCCATGCAGTTGGGTGTCCAGGTCCGGAATCTGGCTGGGTTAGCTTGAAGCTCAAGGACAAGGAGCCTTCCTTTGGGCTGCTTTTCACCCAACTTTCACTGGGGCTCGGGATGGACTGTCCATACCAGCTCCGTGTGCAGGACTTACTCGTCGAGGTAGATGCCGAAGGCAACGCAATTGCCAAGGCGGCTTCCATTCCGAGCTGGTCGTATCCGAGCTGTGTTTACGAGGTAGATGTTGCAAGGATGCATGTGTCGTTCTCATACTTTGACACGTCGATGTTGATGCAAGACTAGACACCTGCATCTGTGTAGTGGCTGAGTCTCAGAGGTCCCCTGTCATTTTACCCGTGTCGTCCGATTCTTGGGCCCGCTTCTCCTTCCGTTATCTACACCCTAGCTTATACTTATACTTGCGCAACGAACTTTGGGGAGGACACCTTGAAGAAAAAATCCTGGGCGTCTTGGCTGTACTGTGCTCGAGATCGTGCACAGCGTGCGCGAGGTTTTTGCAAAGATCTAAGCCTAGCATACCTGTCGAGAAGTGCTTATGGGTGCCATTGCCGAGGACACAAAGTTTTTGTTCAAGGGATGCGGTGCAAATATCCGGGCTCTCGACGGCGGCACAGACGCTCGGCAACAGGGGATCTTCTGCGAGGCAAAGGCAGAACAAGGCATAAGTGTAAGGGCCTGGGACAGGGACAGAAAGAAAGTTCACAGGCCAATCAGCAGGAACCCAACTGAATGGAGATCTGCAGCTGGTTGAGCACCGGACCCGTCCTGGGATTTAAAATGTTTGGAATGCCAGTCTTGCAGTCATCTTCCAGCGCCAAACCCCCTGAAACTCAGACCTGAAAGCCCGCAGTCGCAATACGAATCTATGAAACTCAGGAAGGGGCCAGCCGTGATCAGCTCTTCGAGCTACTTCGTTGCGGGATGGTTTCTTTTTTTTTCATATCGGTGGGGCTTACTCCTGCTTTGGCCAAGTGTACGGGTAATGCTTGCTTTTCAGGGCAGCCACGTATGGCGATTTTGTTCACATGTTTGGAGGAGTGCATTCACGCGCCATTTACCTCTAACTTGTCCAAATCGCTCTTTGGTTGTTTTGCTTCTGGTCGTAGTACTCCGCCCTTTGAACGAATCACGTTGTGGGATCTGATTTGGCTAGCACAAGTGGGCAACGAAGAAGTGAAACAGACATTTGACTCAGACTAAGACAGTTCGACTAAGCTTTCGTGTGGTTTGCCGCCGTTGCCAGTTCTGATATAATCAATTGCCAATTTGCTGATGATTCACAGTAAATCGAAACGTCGGGACGGTACCCTTGTCCTTGGTTTGTAGCTTTCTTTCCTCAGCGCCTTGCAACCTTTTTGGATTAGGTTAGCTTAGTTCTTCTGTCGCGGCTCGCTTCGTACAGAGTACATTCGCTCAGTACAGTATGTCTTTTGGTAGCATGTTCGTATGGTATACATGAGCTGCCGGCATCAGATGTAATCCCGAAGCGAGCACTTCTGTTTGTTTTGTGTGTTTGAGGTGGGAAGTCACATGAGCTAAGTTGGGAAGCTAGCTCTTGTCACATGCGTGTTTATACATGTGTAGATATATAATATACGTGCATGTGCAATATTATTATATGTAGATTAATTTGTATGTACATACAACCTTAAACCCTACCGAGCCCTAACCCCTAAACCCTGAACCCTCAGCCCTAACGTATATGTACGTGCCTCTTCCTAACCAGGAGTTCTAGACGCAGACAATGCAGAAGGAAAAGAGGTTCGACAAATACGTTAATATGTACATATATGTGTACATCTACATCTACATACACATGGGGGATTCAGAAAGCAGTAGATGGACCATGCGTAATAGGATCCTGGATGCGAACTTTGGCATGGTCGTGGTCAGCATGAGAACATCTAATAGAGCTAGTCTGACAGTCTTCTTGCGCTGAACGAGCACCAGTACATGAATAGCGACCATGGCATCTATGATGCTTATTGCCAGAGTCTTTGTTATTCGTATTGGTTCCAGTCCCTGCCGGCCGGTATTTAGATAATGTTTTGGTTTTCGGGCTGAATTTCGGTCGTCCCGGCCGGGTTTTATCATGCTCGGCGCTGCTACAATTGGGTTTGCTTGGCTTGCTACGAACGACCGGTCGCATATTCAATATATGTGGTTCTTTCATGAAGCGCTCAGACCGAGAAGGCAAGGACTTCAGTCTCTTGAATGTTGACGTTGCATGCTTTAATTCCTGACGGATCAGACAGTACTGCTCTCACGATGTTGATTTGCTGCCTTCGATGGCAACGATGGTGCGCGTCTGCCTTCGAGTGCAACGATGATGCTTGTGCAGCAGCGATGATGGCGATGCTGCTGCTGATGATGATGACGATGATGATGTGAATGTTGTTGTTGATGGTGAGGATGGTAATGATAGTGATGATGATGGTGGTAAGGATGAGGATGGCCGTGTTGATGGTGGTGGTGGCAATGGTCATGGCTGCTAGTGACTTTCCGGCAGGTTAGGTTGAGATTACGTGCAGGCCAAATGATTCGTTTGTAAGATTTGTCCAACCGGGTTTTAGGGGCACGTGGAGCTGTTCAGTCTTGCCTCTGGCAGCTACTGCAGAAAGCATGAGGGTGGCAAAAACAGTGCAGAAGGACAACGCATTGGACGACTTGCGAACCGATGCAGCAATAGCATGAGTGATTTTCAAACAGCAGCTTTTTGCAGTTTGGGTAGGAGCCATCGTTCGTGACCACAGCAAAGCTCCAAAGCCCTTACGGCCAGACCCCTACTGCAACCCTAAATCTTCCACCGGCCATAGGTTTCTGATGCGACAACACGTCAGCCCAGAGCTTCGGAGAGATTTTTGGGATGAGCCGCTTTTCTGGCAAGGAATTCCTGAGAGGGGGGGAGAAGCTGGCGCCTGTCAGTTCCGTACGAGTAAGGTCTTTGTTGTCCCTTCCAGAGACACTGTGATTTTGTCTTATAGATTATGTACATCTGCCTGCCTGCAAGTCTGCAAGCTCGCAAGCCTGCCGGCTTGCCTGCCTACCCGCTTGCCTGTATGTATGTCTGTATGTATGCTTCTACATACATGGATGCACACACACACACACACACACCGGGGGAAGTCTGCATTCTAGTGGATTAGCTCGAAAGGGATGTGGCCACGACTCCACGGCGCTCCTTATTTTTTGTGATTTCTGGGGATGATGTTGCTGAGGATACCCGACCATCTCTACGACACTGCAAAGACCAGCGATGCTTGAACAGCCACTACTGTGTCTTTTATCGACGTTGTGCGAGCTTGCTTTTGTAAGGATAAAGCGGAGCTGCCGTTGGGCATGTGAGGGCGTGCAAATCTACTTCTGACGGGATCCTGCTGTATGCAACAAGGAGATGGACTGCATCACCTTTTTCCAAACCGTGGGCCATCTCTGCTGCGAGCCTTCAGGCACGTCTGAGGTCGGAGCTGGCAAGTACTTCTGATCGCACGTCGCCACACTGGATCACTTAATAGTTTTACCGAGATGTGCCCTGTAGTTGCCTGCCGGCCTGACCTACAGTATCCTACAGTGCTATGCCCTCTTACACTGTGCCTCCACTGCCGCTCGCTTTCTGAGGGAAACGACTGCCCTCTCCCGGGGGTGTACGGCAGCGGCTGGAGACGTTCGGCGACCTCCGATGCGCCTCTCGAGAAGGGAGCCTCATTTTGACGGTTGCTGTGGGCTAGATAGTGGAAAACTCGTCGGGGTCTGGTCGGACATTGATCATTATTATCCATTATCCTATTGGAATCATTGGAAGTATCCACGCATTCACCGTAGTCGATCCCATGCCGCCATTACTTGCCTAACTCTCAAGATGGTGGCGGGAGCTTCAATTTGGGACACGTGGCACAAGCATCTAGGGTCCCGGCACCGTTGTTGTCAGACACTGCCACCGGAGGTATTGTTGTGGAACCCGATGCTGCTTCAGAACCTGCCAAAGTGGTCGTCGTCCTGGCACATGGTATCGAGGCCTGCTTGGTCTGTTGCCACAGAACGCAATAGCTCCGAGCCTTTCAATGACTACCGCGTACTGGCGCCTTCTGTCGCGAGGTCCTGGGCGACGACCTGTACGGTTTGGCTCACCGGCTGTGCAGGGAAGGTCTGAGAGTCGTTCTGCCAGAAGCACCCAACGAGAGCAGGAGCCTTTGCGAGCTGGGTTCTGTGATCGGGGTCGTCCCAGCCTGAGTTCGTAAAGTAGCCAGTCTGCATCTTCATCGCAAGGTGCGCAACCTCGGGAGGAGGACATAGTTGAGAATGTGCCTTGGACTGCACTGAGCTCACTTCCACATTGGTTGTGTATGGCATGGCAGCGAGTTAACTCTGGTTGTACTACGGTAGCTGGCAGCTCCATCGCTTGGAGAAGGTCTGAACTCAGAGCTCAGAACTCATGCAGGGTGCGGCTCGAAATCCGCGTTTGGTAAGATCCCTGCTTCAATGGGATTTTCTTTGTACACCCCCTCCCCGACCAAGCACCTGCCAGGTCGGCCAGCCGATCGACGAGTCCCAAGACACCGAACGCGAAGAATGGCGGAAGCCACTGCGCGAGTGGTGGAGCCGGACTGTCCTGATTCACTGCAATGTGCTTGCAAGGGCATGATGTCACATCCTAGATAAGTTCTACAAAGATATTTGGGCTCAACATCAGACTGTCGTCGTGCTTGGAGGAACATTGCGCTTGACCTTTCTCGGTTAAGCTCGACTTCCTGATGGTGTCGTACTGCTCCGGCTGTTACTGGTACTGCTGTTGCTGCTGAAGGAGCATCAACGAAAAGGACATAGAGAAAACGTTGCCTCGAGCTAAGAATCATGCTCGACTTGATCATCCCTGGTTGGGAGATTTGGGATGCCGTAAACACATGCACATCTTGTCCGAGGTCGAAGAGGCGCAGGTTGTTTAAGGCATCTACCGATGCGCCTTGAAGCCTCACTTGCCCACCCGCGAACCACCCCACCACGACAGTCTCCCGATATTGGGATAGAGCACTTGCGAAGCAGGATTCACTCATCAGCGTTTGCACCTAGCTAAAGTGCAATGCAATACCGATGCAGATGCAATGCGGAGAATCTCAAGCCGTGCCTAAGGTCCAAGGCCGCAGAGAGTCTCGGTGCCTGCGCAGCAGCAGCAAAAGGCGATGCCAAGCTGGTGCTGGGTGGCTTCTCACAAGGCTGGGCCGTTTGGCTTCAAAAGCCTCCTTGTGCCAATTCTGAAAGCCAGCTCGCGCAATCATTTCTTCGCAGGGCCCACCGAACTGACACCACCTTCAGCAAGTCGATGACAGAAGTCCTAGAGGGTCCTACATGGGTTATGGTCCCTTTTGGGGTACCCTAAATAATAGGTGCCGTATTATAATAAGGACCCAAAAAGGGACCCTAATTTTGACAACCACCCACATGGCACCGCCTGGAGGCTCCTTGGTAGCCCTGGCCAGTGCCAAGAAGGCCAAGCCCGCTGGCCTCGTTCTCCTGTGCCCACCAGGCCGAACAGAGAGCTCAGGCAAAGCTGATGGCGCCATAGATATACACATAGGGTTTTGGGGTATATTATACTATAATTGTTAAATAATAAGGAACCCCAAAATACTATTGGTAATCATACTTTGACTGCATAGGTCTGCATAGCCGCTTGTGGATGTCTGTCCGCGCCTCCGTCACTCCGTCTGTTTGTACGTGTGTGAAGGGGACCATACATATATATAATTATACATATATATATATATATATCTATATATGTATGTATGTGTACAGATGCATCTAAAATATATGCACATTATATACGTATACACATACGTACACACACACACACATGTGGGTGTAGATACAACACATCTCTTTGCCTCTGTGGCTTTCTCTTTCCATCCCCGTACGGCCTCGCTTGGCTGTCCAGCGATCGCATTCCAAGAATTCTGTAGTTCGAAATCTGATCCACTCTACTTGGCTGCAGCGGAAGTGTTTTTCGCACTTTTTGATCTTGCCTGCTTTCCTAGCAGCCCATCGCAGTCATCGAAATCCCAATTCGATAATCCATGATCATCCTTGCGGAAGCGTCCTGCCCACCCTTGCCGTGACCTTCAGGGGCTCTGGCCGCACCAGTGGCTCGATCCTTGGACACGCCGCCGCCGGCGCTCGTGGCATCGGGAAGCGAGGACAGGGGAAGTCTTCGAGCGTCGGCGAGAGGTAGCGGTATGTACTGTTGATTCTTGGAGTCAAGGTGTCTTGCGCACGCAGGCTCGGTTCGGGCAATGATGTGGCAACGCTCATCTCGCTTGCTGAGTCAACTTCGCTATATCGATTGATGGCCATCTTAGTCGCTCTCTTGCGGGCATGGTCCGGCATGGTCCGGTCTCCAGCCGTCCAGGATGTCATCGCGCCGAGGCAACGCTGACGCTGAAGGGCTCTTGCTGCTTGCGGTAGAGTCCGAAGCTTTCGTACCAAAGTTTTGACTTGTATCCTAATCGCAGGTGCCAGGTCAACATGTGTCGGCTCATGTGACAGACTGTGCCAGGGAAGGCGTCCACGAAGTACACAAGGCAGGGCTGTCATGAGTGACTTTCGTTGCTAAACAGTCCGCCACACTTCAAGGCTTTGGCAAAAACTTGGCGTCTTGACACTGATCTAGTAAGATAAGAAGGATGTTCTTGGGATGATAGTCGGTGAATCAGTGGCACTGCTGTCGCGAAACCAGATGACGGTCGTGCGACGAGATACCCATCACGGGGCCCTCGCGTTGAGGTCCTTACAAGCGGAGGCAGCCGAGCAGAGCTCGTGAACTTCGATGGCGGCCACGAGGTGGAAGTAGCCGAGAAATGTACGCAAGCAACGCAAGCAAGTGCAAGCAAGTGCAGGCGAGTGCAGTGCACAGCACACTGTTTGGCTGTAGCTGCTTGACCATCATCATGTCAACTTGTCGGTCAGTTCCGCACGCCTTGCAGGTGACCATGAAAGTGGTGGACGCGGTGAAAGCTTTCCTGCTCAAATCGATTTGAACTCGATAGCTTGCGTTACGCAAGAAATGAAAGAAGCGTTCGTCGCAGCAGAGTGATCTTCATTCTCAAGGAGCGGAGACTTGTGGCGGTCTGATCATTGTACTACCAGCATTTGCTTCGTCGTTCACAAACCCCACCTATTCGGATGCTGCCTCCATCTATGCCGATGGCTTTCTGCTTCGGCCTGCCTGAATCATCAACCGAAGCTTGTCCCTTGCTGCAGTTCTGGCTGAGATAGAGGAGGGCTGGCCGGGGCCCGAGCATGCATGACCGCAATTGTGGCTGCAGAGGCTAAGTGGGCTAAGTTTCATTTCATCTATCCTACCATTGCTATTGTATGCATCATCAAGAGGGTTTTGAGATCAGCCACAGACAGCAGTTGACACCGACCACTAGGTTGTCATACTGGTCATGTCTTGCGGTGCCAACGGGCAGCCATAAATAATGATCTCGAGTTTGCATGAGTTTTGTTGCAGCCAGAGGCACATTGTCTTGAGTTTAGGTTGGGTGAAGAACAGCTTGTCCCATTGCCAGTTTGGGTCTGTGCCAGTGATTTGTTTCCGGTAGCAGCACGTCATTCCTGACACCATGTGTTTACTGTGTACTTGAACGGTTTTAGCTCCTTTCTGGCACTACGAAGTGAACCTGCAATGCTTTGGAGATACTTCCTGTGCCGGCGCATGGGTTTTCTGACAGGTACGCGCCGGACGAGACAAAGCAGTGCTTCTTCAACACCAACGGGCTCGGCACTGAGGGTCTTTGTGCCTCCAGGCCTTGATGTGCGCAGCGGCCTAAACTCCAAACCGAGGTATGAGATGTTCCAAGCAGCTCGCACCCACGGCGCGCATCTCTTGACTGCAAGACTTTAGCCATGTTTGCATCATTGCCGTTGGGGGAAGTTTTGAAGTTCGATGGGTAAGATGCAGCGACTTGTGGGCTGAATTGTGCATGACGCGAAGGTGGATATTCGGACCTGGCCCGCGTCTTTCTGTCGTGCAACAAGGAGACTTCAGGTATTTAGTTGTGGAGCAGCACTGCAACTCGCACACAGTCTACTACGCTGAAATCGATGTCCTTGTTTGGAAGGAGCCGTCCAAGATCATGCATATCGGCACGAATCCTCTGCACGGTCCTGAGACGTCGCTGACCAAATGTTTACCGGTCCATCCTTGTGGTGTTTTTTAGCCTGTACTGCTGTACTGGCATTCGTTTTTTCGTATGATATGCATACTTACTTACATGCATACATACATACATACATACATACATACATGCATACGTGGATAGACGTACATCCATCCATCCATCCATCCATCCAGGCAGGCAGGCATGCGTGTATGTATGTACGTATGTATAGGTATGTATAGTTTTTTTACAAATGTATATATATATATATAT